AAAAAAAGTAAACAACAAACAAAGCTCAGTAATTTCTCAAGAGATGGCGCTTAATGTATTTAAAAAAATGAACGCGACTTGCAGTGATAAAATTACGAAATTTAAACGAGGAACACACTCGTCGGGCGTTGCCCGACAACGGACCGCAAAGGATTAACGTGCACCTAAATTTATAGGCAAACGGGCCTACAGCATTTCTGTCTCCATCGAAAATGAATTCGCCACAGCTGGGATTCCATCCCGTGACCTAAGGATTAGCAACCGAGTATCTTAGCCACTACACCACCACGGCAAGGCAAAATACCACAAAAAAAAGACCCTTAGAGACTATAGAAAAAGAATATCAAAATATGTATTGTATTGTTTCATTTGCAGCAAGAAAATTGGTCATTCTCGTCGGAGCTTTCCATTGGTAACTGAATTACAGCAGCACGAAACTAAAGTGCTCATGATCGCACCAAAAGTGAGTCAATGCCTTGAATGAAAAAGAAGAAAAGAAAGTTGAAATGTACCGCTAAATAATGAAACAACCATACTGCACACAGTTCTAATTCAGGAAACTTAATTAGTCTATGGCTTAAAGGGGCCCTGCAATACTTTTTCAGCATGGTTCAATAGCACTGCGTTGTAGTCGAGGCTCCGGAGTACACACGAGCCAAACATTACAGCGCTATGCATGGCCTGGAATTAACAATACCTTTTCGAAGTCAGCTGAAAATCACTCTGTTCTAGACAAATTATGCTATTTCGCTCAACATTATTGTGTCATCGACTCAAGTTTCACGCCATTGGCTGATCTGAGCATTGCACGCTCGGGAGTTACTGTGGCCACTGCGGGAGGCCGCCACTTATTTGTGCGTAAGCATGATATCACACTGAAAAACCAAGTGCCTGAACAACAACAACAACAAAAAAAAGTGAGGTCCCGAGGTGCGCGTAACATGCCTTTTTTTCCCGCTCCATCCTTTCCAGCTTACCTTCCAGCCCTTTTGTCCCGACGAGAGAAAAGAGAAAGCAGTTGCAGCGTGCAACAAATACTTGTAACTGTGCTAATACTGGGCGAATTCTAAAGCTTTTTGCAACAGTCGATTCATGAGGCAATCAGCCCGTTTAGTGAATTCATTCCATGGCTACTAGGAAAAGTGTTGAAGGGCCTCTATAAAGGAGTCTGGTGGAAGCCTGGCATTTCTTTTGTGCCTCACATGCTTTTTAGAAGTGTCCCTCTTCACAGCACCACACGGGGACTACGGATTGACGGAGGAAGAATTTTGTTCCCTCCTCAAGAGCCACAATAGGTTTGACCAACTCCGGGCTGTCCAGAAGGCGACGGCGAGGCTCGGCCTTTCCGTGCCGTTGTGGGGGCCACCCGCAGTCTTGCCCCTATATAATGGGACAATTCTTCTGGACCCGAATCAATGTTGCTATTTATATACCTATATGCCAAACCAAATCTTTTTTAGAGCATTTGAATGAACTTGTGGCTGTTCATACCTGAAAACTCATTGACGCACATCTGGTGCAGAAACAGCTTGTGCCTGTATCAGGCAGGAACATTGCAGGAATTATGTGTAAAACGGAAATTCTAACATATCAATGTATGTAGCTGACCAGGACTTGACACCAGAAACGCTTTACACGAAAAGAATGCACAAGTGAGGAACATACAAGTACAGCTCTACTGTATTTTCCTGCCATGCTCTTCTGCACATTTACTATAACTTAGCAGTGAGCTCGTTTGGGCCAGCTGATAATCCATTAACCCTTCTTTGGAGCAAATATCAGAGACAAGGGACGACAAATTGCAACACAAAAGAGCCCTAACTTTCAACTGAATATTTATTGTTACCATTGCAAACATGTGTCGAAACAATTGTTGAAAGATTATTGGAACAATTCAGTTGGAAGTTAGTGCTTGTGCACGTCATAATATTTTGTCCCTTAACTTTGAAGTTTGCACTAAGGAAGCAACAATTCACACATATACTCTAATATCCCTTTCATAATCTCTGTGCCGTTTTTAGTAACATATCTGTCTCTGCCGGTGACGTCTGAATGCAGTCTACGATCGTTATAATGCAGTGGCAACTTGTAAGTGGAGACGTAGTCCATGCCATCAAAATGGTGTCGGTTAAACTCGAAGTGCAGGACGTGTTGTAATTAAGATAATACTAAAGTTATTGTTTTGGCTACAGCACAGTTTGTAAGTGCAGAACTCATCATCTAGTGGTGGTGTGGCAGTGCATCGTTAAGGGGGCCCTGCAAGACTTTTTAAGCATGGTCAGAAAACACTGCATATCAGTAGTCGAGGCTTCCGAGAACACACGCGCCAGATATAGCTCAGCGTGTGGCCTAAAATTTACAACAAATTCACTAAGTCAGGCAAAGATCGCCCTCTCTTCTCCTGACAAATGACGCTACGGGCTCAAAAAGCACTGTGTCACAGGCCAGGTATCAGCTATGAGCTGATTTGAGCATGGCGCACTCAGTCGTTACTGGGGCCACCACGAGAGGCCACGACTTGTCCACACGTGCACACGCTTTTGCTCTGAGAAGCCATGCATTTGACGAAGAAAAGGAGAGAAGTGGTCTAGGTCACGAGGTGCTTGCGGCATAATTTATTCCCCTGTGACATCCCTCTCTGCTTGGCTGCCAGCCCTTTCGTCGGGATAAGAGAAGAGAGAATGTGATTGCAGCGTGCGACAAATCTTTTTAGCTTCGCTTGTACTGAGTGGATTCTAAGAATGTTCGCGACGACGAATTCGTGAGGCAATAGGCCCCTTAGATGAATCCATTCCATGGCTACTTGTAAAAGTGTTGCAGGGCTCCTTTAATGGTGTTGTGCCAAATGGTCATACTATGACAGACTGTGAGATGTGGAGGCTTCAGTTGTTCGCCTTAGCTAACTGAATTGGAATATAATATAATCATGCTCACTTATCGTACATACGCGAATGCAAGTTAGCCCGTCTGCGTGTCCTCCATGAGGCGACATCTCAACGGAAAAGCACACAGCTGCCCGTCACTCTTTATTTTACAAGTATTGCACCATCTAGTCTGGAACCCGCACAACAAATTCACAAAGATTCATTGCTAAAGTTGAGTACGCGAATTCAAGGCTTCACTACAGTGCAAGAAGAATGGCTTTGCAGCAATATGCAGAGATTAAAAAAAAATGTGGCAATGAATAGCTAGGAGATGCAGGCTATGCATACGCATGTGCAGGTTATGCGCAAATTAATATGGTAATATGCAGCATGTGCAAAGACGTGATCCAGGATGGCTGGTTGCTTTGTGGATGCTTTCATTCCTTGTCTTTGGTATTGGTGGCCGCCATAGAGTTGTATGCAATAATAACTAGAGAGAAATCTGGTGCTGCGATCGTGTACCTACATGGGAATTATGGGAAGTACAAGCTTTCGATTGGATAGGGTTAGCTAGCGAACTGTCTACGGACTTTCTTCTACAGTTTCATTCTTCGCGAAGCGTGGGTAGTGGGGTGGGGTGCAAAGCCCTGAAGCCGCGTCTTTGTTGTTAAAGGAGGCTGAAGACTGCTAAGTCTCTTGATTTGCTACAACTTGATTTGCTACAGCTTTACGAGCCGTATTTGAGAGTTCAAACGAAGCCTCGTCCACTCACCGTTGTGCATAGACGAAGCGTCTCATGCCAGTGCAGGATGTTGCCTCCAGTTCATGTTTTTCACAAGTGCGTCTTATCTAAACTCGTTTTAAATCAACTGCAGAGCGATGACAAAGCTAAGCATACGCACCACCATGCTCCGCTGACTCGACTTCACAACAAAACCAGAGGTGTGTTGCGGGCAGACCACTGGGACAGACGCACCTAGCGTCACAGAAGAAGCGGTAAGTGTTTCTCCCTTAATACTGTACAGTTATTTTCATAAATAGATTATGTACACTTTCAAGAGAAAAACAAGCATGTTTGTTTTCAAGTGTCGTAAAAAAGAATTCATTAGATCTTGATGCCGAATCTGGAACGCAATGACAGAGCGATGCGTACCCTGATGGTTGAATTTGCCCATGTTTCACATTTGCCGCCTGGTCACAAAACTTTTTGCAATAAAGTTTACGTACAAATAATTGAAGCAAGTTTCAATTGAATATAGGTTCATATCACTTTGTTTTACACTCGGAAAAGAAGCATCGCGAATTTCAAGTACGTAATCCATCCGAAGCGAATCCAAGGCCTGTACTTCCCATAATTCTCATGGGGGTACAAGCGCCACTGAAGGAGCCCGCGTATACACTAGCACCAGATTCCCCTCAAGGTATTATTGTATGAAACTCTATGGTGGCTGCATTATCTCCGCGTTTCAGAGATGTGTTGGAGTAAGGGCAATGCACTGAACATTTTTCTGAAGCAAAGTCCATAGGAGCGTGAAGCCTTGTTCAAGATAAGCAGTGGATGGTTGCTGGAAATTCATGAGAGTTTACCAGTTCACCAGAACCACCAGTGCCGTTCAAAATATTGAGATTCCATAGTATGCAATCTTTTCAGTCCTCCTAAACAAAGTTGTGCAATGAAAACGTTTCTGCCGTGTTGTGCTTAAAGAAGCAGCCAGCGGATTTTGCAATCAGTACTTGAGCCGTCTGAACACTGACTGTAAAATTTTTAGTCAACCATACAGTCAACCTTGTGTACCTGAATGGTGGCCTACCTGCAAACTGCCACCAAAAATTTCCGGTAATGTGGAGCAGTTTTCAGAAGACGTTCACAACCCCAAATCGCGCTGAACCTACCAACTTACCAGAATCACGATGACCTCCGACTGGACAAAACCTAAATGAGAGCCACGACACGTATCTGTGCACACGACTGTTTTAATTTTTGAGCAAGAATTTTGAAGATAGCTGCATTGCCGGGAGAACCGTCGTACATTTTGCGTACAAAGAAAGCAGGCCGCTGCAAGTTGTCACAGAGAAGTGTCACAAGGTGGTGCAAGCAAAGAGAGATGGGAAAATAAAAATGGTAAAACCACTTACCCTGTCCCCATGACTGCCTGTCATTTCTGTTTTGATATGCAGGTGGCGCCACTTGACTGTAGGGTCCCATGGACGCAACTGCATGCCTTCACAACAAGGCAAACAACCACTAAGGCACACGTCCCCATGCAGAAAATACTATCCACAATTAATACACAACATATAAACTACCGATGACAACTTTGCTACTGAATGTCGAAGTTACGTTCCACCTTTCATGCTGCAACCTTGCGCGACACATACTGTTTGTCTTCAGTGCTGAAAATTTAGAATGTGTTGAAGTTCATGAATGTATGTTACAAAGCTTTTGAAAGTACAGGTTGTGACTTAGAAGTGTGGCGGTTTGGACTAGTTAGTATGACACGACGGTAGATATAGCGCGAGAACAGAACGACGAAAAAGGTCTCAATCTTGTCCCTTTGTCGACGTTCTGTTCTCGCACTATATCTACAGTCGTACAGGTTGTGGTTACTTTGTCAGTCTTGAAACTCATAGCTCTCTGCAACTGTGCTACTATTCCAATCCCCAAATCAACAATCCTTCAGCGACTAGTGGTGGAATCAATGGCAAAGTGGACATCAGTGACTGCATTCTACGGCATCCAAGATTGGTGTATGAACTTGACATCTTGGATAGCTACACTTAGGTAAGCACCGCATGAATTTAAGAAACTGAACAAGCCTCCGGTGAAGGGTTTCCCCACATCTATTAATGCCGGTTTCAAAATTATTATACAGAGCTCTTTGAAGGAAACGAATTCAAACTGCGACCCCAGAACGTATTTGTTATTTATAGCACTACCCACTAGCATCTATTAATGCCGGTTTCAATATTATTATACAGAGCTCTTTGAAGGAAACGAATTCAAACTGCGGCCCCAGAACGTATTTGTTATTTATAGCACTACCCGCTAGCATCTATTAATGCCGGTTTCAAAATTATTATACAGAGCTCTTTGAAGGAAACGAATTCAAACTGCGGCCCCAGAACGTATTTGTTATTTATAGCACTACCCGCTAGCTGAACTGATCGCTTGTGAGCCGATCACATGGATGCTGCAGCTTCACTTGTAATGCCCTCTTTAATTGTGAGTAGTAGTGAGAGAGTGAATATAGAATTTGTGGAAATCGAGCGTGCCCTCCTTTTTGACGCCCCGTTCCCCAGCTTGAATGTGCGCTGGCTCCGCCGTTATTGAGTGACATGGCTACTGCTGGCTACAATGCCAGGCTTTTTGCCTGGTGGCGACTATGCATCGGTGTTCCCTGTGTGGAGACATGCATACGAACATGGCCGGATGATACTTGCCACGCGTCGCAATAGCACGTGTCGCAGTGCTTCACCTGTCCTCACTGGCTGCCAGAGACAGCCCACTGTCTCCCTTCTACGAAGGTGCTTGGACTGCCCCGCTCTTTCGGGGCTTTACCCCATCCAAGAGCATTGTTCACTGATGGTGCCTTGTAGTGGTTTAGTGGCAGTTGACCACATTGACTGGCACAGTTGGCTTGCCCATTTCTGAGGATGCTAAACTTGACCTCCTCTAGTTTACAGCGAGCCCCTAAACACAGAAGTTTCTTGAAAATGCATTAGATTACAGTAAATTCTCATTAAACCGAATCTGAAGGATCCAGAAAAATATGCTTCATTTAAAAGGAGCTCCGTTTACTGAGAGATGACCAGGTGTGCAAAATACGAGAAGGAAACCAACCTTGTCGGACGCACTTCTTCCATTTAAGCAACAGATTTTTGTTTGCCGAGAGACCACTGTATTGTGATGTAACGGTGAAGGCAACCTTTATTAGCTCCAGAAGACACGATGAAGCGACCACGCCCAAGGCACAAAACTCAGACAAGCCAAATCCCCACAGCAGATGAAGATGACGACCACTCATGATGATGAATATGTGTAAAGAAAGTAGATGTGCTTAATGAATGCCTACACTAACTCCCCCCCCCCCCCCCCCACGTGAAAGCGGTCATCCTGACCGCAGTTCTTGGCCGCAGTTTAAAGCGAAGATGAACGCCGTATGAAAGGCTTCATGCGGGATACGTGGACTATTTTTGCTGCCCTGTAGCGGCGGTCCGTCGGAAGAAGAACAGGTGCCACGCGATAATTCACAGGAGACGTTTGCTCCAAGACAGTGTAGGGGCCAATAAAACGTAATTGAAACTTCTCGCACAGTCCGGGAGTGCGGCGAATGGGTGTAAGAAGGAGGACTTCGTCACCAGGTCTGAAAGACACGGCACGATGAGAGGCATCATATTCAAGCTTGCGATCCTGTTGCTTGGCTTCAGTGTTGACGCGAGCCAGCTGGCGGCAATGAAGTAGACAAGACACGTATTCTTCACTTGAAGATGAGCATGGTTTGACAGGTGCAGAGAAGAACGAAACATCGAGGAAAGAAGAAGGGAAGCGACCGTGGACGAGGTAGAACGGCGAGTAATCAGTTGTGCACTGTACAGAGGTATTATACGCAAAAGTGACAAATGGCAAAATGGTGTCCCAGTTTCTGTGGTCGGGTTCGATATACATCGCTATCATATCTAACAGTGTACGATGAAAGCGCTCAGTCAGGCCGTTCGTCTGAGGATGGTAACTGGAGCTTGTTTTGTGTGTAGTGCCTGATGCCTTGAGCACTTTTTCAACGAGTTCTAAAGAAAAACTCTTCCACGGTCACTCAGGATTACACGAGGAGCTCCGTGTCGAAGAATTAATGCTCGAAGGATAAAGTCGGCCACTTCCGAAGCTGATGCAGAAGGCACGGGAGCTGTTTCGGCGTAGCAGGTCAGGTGGTCGACAGCTGTAACTATCCATCGATTGCCCGTGACTGTCATAGGAAGCGGACCATACATGGTCAATGCCAACTACCTCGAATGGTTGCAGGGGACACGGGAGCGGTTGTAATTGTCTACTTCGAGTTGATGTAGGTAGCTTGCGACGCTGACAAAGGGCGCATGAAGCAACGTACTTCGCGACACAGGTGGACAAGCCCGGCCAGTAGTAGTGACATCTTATGCGGTCATACGTTTTCTGGAAGCCCATGTGTCGTCGTGATAAGTCTTGAGGACTTGAGCCCGAAGAGAGCGAGGTAGAACGGGCACCCAGCGTTGACCATCAGGGTGGTAGATATGACGGTACAGGACGTGGTTGTTGAGCTTGAATTGCGTCAGCTGTCGGCGAAGACGGGCGTTAGGGGGCCGGCAAGTCCCGTCAAGACGGTCCATGATGCGGCGACAGTAAGGGTCAGCACGTTGGTGAGATAAGAACAAACCACACTCGCTTGGAGAAGTTGGGTCCACAGTAGCTAATGACGAAACATGTAGGGAAGGGACGGCCGAAAGCTTCTCGAGTGCGGCAGTGGCGGGTTTGTCAAGGGGCTCCGAAGAGAGCGGGCAACGCGAAAGTGTGTCGGCGTCTTGATGTTTGTTTCCCGACTTGTATGTGACCGTGAAGTCGTATTCTTGTAAGCGAAGAATCCAGCGACCAAGGCGGCCGGACAAGTTTTTGATTGTCGAGAGCCAGCACAAGGCGTGATGGTTCGTAACCACAGTAAAGTGGCGGCCGTGGAGATAAGGTAGAAACTTTTGTACCGACCATACGACCGCTAGGCACTCCTGTTCGGTGATGATATAATTCTTTTCGGCAGAGGTCAGTGCACGGCTCGCCTATGCGACGACTTTCTCACGTGAAGATTTGTCTCGCTGTAGGAGAATTCCACCAATGCCTCGACCACTAGCGTCTGTATGCAGGAGCGTAGGCGCAGTTTCGTCGAAATGGCAGAGGAATGGTTCGGATGTGAGTGCACACTTCAGTTGGGCAAACGCCGCTTCACATTCAGGAGACCACACAAAGGTGACGCCTGATCCGAGCAACTTGTGCAATGGTGAAGCTATTGAGGCGAAGTCTCGAATGAATTGGCGAAAATAAGAAGCGAGTCCGAGGAAACTGCGCAAATCTTTGGCTTTTTCAGGACGCGGGAAGTGTTAAACAGCGGAAATCTTGTCAGGATCGGGACGAATACCGTCCTTGCTTACGATGTGGCCTAACACTTTAATCGTCTTGCTCGCAGAACGGCGCTTCTTGGTGTTCAGCTGAAGGCCTGCGTTCGCAAGGCACGTAAGAACTTCGTCCAGTCGTTGCAAGTGCTGAGGGAAGGTTGACGAGAAAATGACGATATCGTCTAAATAGCAAAAGCAAGTCTTCCACTTCAAGCCTCGTAAAACAGTGTCGATCATCCGCTCGAATGTTGCTGGAGCATTGCAAAGGCCGAATGGCATGACGTTGAATTCGTACAGACCATCTGGTGTTGAAAACGCCGTCTTTTCTTTGTCATCCTCGTGCATGGGTATTTGCCAGTAACCTGAACGCAGGTCTAGGCTTGAGAAGTACTCAGCACCTTGCAGTGAATCCAAAGCATCGTCTATGCGCGGCATGGGGTAAACATCCTTGTGGGTAATCTTATTAAGTGCTCTGTAGTCCATGCAAAATCTCACGAAGCCATCTTTTTTCCTCACTAAAACAACAGTGGATGACCATGGGCTCGCGGAGGGACGTATAATGTTCCGTTGCAGCATATCGGCTACATTTTGTTCAATGATCTCACGCTCGGACGAAGAGACGCGATATGGTCGACGGCATACGATGGAAGTGCCATCGGTCTGGATAGGATGCCTACTAATGGACGTCTGTCCCAGAGATGAGGAATGGGCATCAAACAATCTCCTATGCTTTTATAGCAAGGTTAGCAACTCATCTGTCTGTGAAGAGGTCAGTTCTGGACTAATAGTCGCAGCAAGAACAGAAACGCTTGATGAACGTCCAATGGAAGGAAGGTCAGAACACGCTGGCGTAAGCGGGACAACAGAGACAAGTTGAGATTCAGAAACGCAAGCCATTGTGGTGCCGTTAGGAATGAGAATTTTCTCAGAAGTCTGGTTTGTAGCGTAGAGAAGTCCGGAGCCATTGTGGAACCGCGCTAGACCTGAAGCAAGGGCTATACCTCTTGCAAGACAGCGGGCAGATGGTTGGACAAACACGTCACCAGAGTCGATCACATTAGAAGTGATGGCAACTATCCGCTGATGACCAGGTGGTAGCTCGGTATCTTCAGCAGCGAGCAAGCGAACAGGCTTGTCATCCGCATACAGGGCATAGTCAGTTTCCATCATATGAACAACATTTTCTCGACAGCAGATGGAAGCGTTCGCCGTAGACAGAAAATCCCAGCCTAATATAAGCTGGTGGGCACACGAACTCAGCAGAGCAAATTGCACAAAATGAAGAAGACCAGCTATGAAAACACGAGCGGTGCACATAGCGGCAGGTCTAATGGCGTCCCCTTGAGCAGCGTGCAGTGTAGGTCCATCATAGGGGGTGGTGACTTTTCGCTAACGTGAGCACAAAGAACGATCAATCACAGATAAACAAGCACCAGTGTCTATTAAAGCGTCTACGTACACACCTTCTATTAAAATAGATATTGTATTATATGGACGCACTGGAGGAATTTCTGTATTTTCGATCGATGCAGCTTTTCCTCCAAAAGCTGCAGAGGTTAGTTTTCCGGGCGTTGGTTGGTGAATTGCGAGACAGGTCGCAATGAAGACGTGGAGCGGCGTAGGGGTGAAGGTGAGCGGCGTCTAGTAGAGCGGTAAGAACTGGTTGGCTCAGATGTCGCAGATGGGGACGGTGAGCGACGTAGCGGCGGATCATAAGGACGACGTTGGAAAGCGTAGCAGCTTGTCCCATCATCCCGTCTGTAGGTGTCGAATCCACGACGTTGGTCCTGCTGACGCTTCCGACAGACGCGTGCAATGTGGCCCCCGTAGTCGCAGTAATAACAGATTGGACGAGGCGGCCGCCACGGTGGGTGAAAGGGTTGGCTAGGCGCACTCGGAGTCAACGAAGCCAGCGGGGCAGGCGTCGAGTGTGCGGGCATCGGTTGTATGACGGGTGGTGATCCAGCAAGGACTTGTGCGTACGTCGGCTGGGGTCGAGGTACTGGAGAGTCTACATACGCTGGCCCAGTCATGGACGCCAACTCCTCTTTGATAACGTCGTGCAAAACAGTGTTGGAGGGGGGAGGTGGACTCGGTGTCATTGAGAGGCCGAAAGATTGCAGCTCTTCCTGTATACAGTAAAAGCTCGTTAATTCGAATTCCACGGGAATGTTGAGCAATTTCGAATTAAACAAAATTCGAAATAATGAAAGTGAGCAAAAATGGGTGGATTTCGGGGGTGGGGTCACGAAAAATATTTATTGGCCAAAAAAGTCGGTGATGACCATCTGCTTCTAATCTCTGAATGCCACAGCTGTGGCTCCCTGTTCCAGCGCGCGGACGCGCGCAGCGAATCCTCTTCACCCTCTTCAAAGCTGAAGAAGAGACGCGCCACATTAAGTGCCTCCATCACCGCAGAAGCTGACGGGCGCACAGGCGCTTCGTCATTTTCATCTTCCTCACCTTCTGGCTCTTCAGCATCAGGCTGCGCACCGGCTACTTGAGCGATAATGTCCTCATCAGTCAGGGCACCACACACCGATGCACCGGTGTCAACTTCAACATAATCGGCAAAACGTACGCCCCGAAGAGTGTCGCGCAATGCCACTGGCATGAGCTCCTCAGCCCCATCCACGTCGACGTCACAACTATCCTGCGCACTTCATGCTGCAAATCCACTGTGGCGGAAACAGTTTGCGATTGTGGTCGCGGTCACCTGTTCCCATGAGCGCACCAACATGTGCATGGCAGCGAGCAGCGTAATGCCGAAGTCCTTCCTGTCGCCAGCGCACAAAATCATTCGTGAACGAACAACGTGCTCGAGGAACGAAGTGACGCTGCCGGGAGCGGCCTAGGACTGCTAGGACAACTCCGCCGACTCCTCAGCGTCCCGTGGGTCCCGCGTACAAGTGGCGCCAGGCGCTGAGATAGCGGGAGGGCTACGAAAAAAAAAATGCTCCCTGGATTTTGGAGGCCCTACTTTGCTCGCCCTTTGCTCGGAGGCCACTTGAACCTCGAAAAAACTGGTCGTGCCACCTATCGTTCGACCATATAACCTTCCACAAGTGTTTGACGATGATGACACTCGGCGGCGCGCGCTTCGAATTATTCGTAGAGGCAGCAATTTCTATTCGAATTAACGAATCGTTTTACACATGGTCTTCTATGCACTGCGGACCGTACTGTGGCGACCATATCGTATTATCCAAAATTTCGAATTAATGAGGTGTGAATTAACGAGCTTTCACTGTAATCGCCCGGATGATGGCACGCAATGAGGCATCAGTCGTGGTGGTGTTTTCAGTGCTGTCCGGCGGTAACCGTTGGGATTCAAGTTCCTCTAGGCGTTGGCACGTGGCAACAACGTCAGCGACTGTAGTTGGGTTTTGAATGACCAAGGCATTGAACGCGACTGTGCCGATCCCTTTCAATAGATGACGAACTCTATCCTGTTCAGACATGGACGTGTTGAAACGGTGACAGAGAGCAAGCACATCCTCTATGTAGGATGTGTAAGACTCACCACATTGTTGCTTGCAAGCATCCAGTGTCTTCTTCGCGAGAGCTGAACGAACCTCCGGGGTGCCGAAAATTTGGCGAAGCTGTTGCTTGAAACGTGTCCAGTCCGTAATGTCCGTTTCATGACTGAAAAACCATGTTTTCGCTACGCCTGTCAGATAGAAAAAAACAGGCGAAGCTTGGTAGGATCACCCCAGTTGTTAGTGGAACTCGCTCGATTGAACTGGTCCAACCAATCCTCCACATCTTCACCTCGAAGTCCGGCGAACGTGGGCGGCTCACGCTGGTGCGCGGTGATAATCCATGATGGATAGGCCGCGGTAGCCGGGGCCGTGGAGGTAGACGCAGAAGCGCCGGTTGGCTCGTCCTGATGCATGTTACTGGACACCTGGCACAAACGACGACCTGAGCGGAGCTCCAGGAGGCAGATCGGGCTGGGAGAGGATGGAAGATCGTAGAGCACACTCCACCACTTGTGATGTAACGGTGAAGGCAACCTTTATTAGGCCCAGAAGACACGATGAAGCGACCATGCCAAAGGCACAGAACTCAGACAAGCCAAATACCCACAGCGGATGAAGATGACGACCACTCATGATGATGAATATGTGTAAAGAAAGTAGATGTGCTTAATGAATGCCTACAGCATTGATATTTCGCTAGTTTCTGTAATGATGGTCGTGCCGGCCAATGTACCCAATCTTTTAGTTCGGCTGACAATCTCCCCGGTGAAAATTTTCAATTCAAGCTGGACCAGGAAACGGCTTGCTGACAGTAAAGACCGAAACCCCGAGCAACGTGAAACACAAGTAGTCCACAACTCACCCAATCATGCGACGCCCGGAGTCGCTCAGTGATGCGATATGTCTCCTCGGAGCCATGCCGATTTGCGGACGCCAGTTGCGGCTTTCCTCTTGAGAGAGGTCCCCCGGTTTAAGCACGCGCTGTGGTTCCCTGTTTGAAAAGAAACACACAAAAGAAAAAGCACAGCAATCAGCGAGACGGGACAATGTGTACGCTGTGGCGCACGAGGAAAGCAGAGAGCTCATTACTTGCGTTCTTCCACCTCCGACCTTTCGAGGTGGGTCAAAACGCCGGGCCCTGTAGGCAAAGATCGGCTCAGGTTGGCTGGTAGTGATGAAGTAACTAGATGCCACGCCTTCATTTTCATGTTTTAGACAAACCTATCGTGTGAATATGACATTCACAAACTTCGCTTTAGACAACCTCAGCGTGTCAATTAAATGATAAAAATGATTAAATTTCGGGGGCTAATAATACAGCATGTGCCAGAGATAAATTTTAATATCTCTAAATATCTCCCCCCTGTCTATTTCCAAGGAGGCTCACTTGATTTAAATTGATTGTCCTTTCACATTATTTCCTCTAGTCCAGTGGTTCTCAGCCATGAATGTGTTGGGGACAACTTGTGAATTGGTGGAGGTGATGGGGGATCCTTTGCAGCAGAGGAGAGGGAGAGAGGGGTACGTAGGTAAATTAACAGAAATGGAGCGTGATACAGGTGCCTTGTATTGCTACCAAAAGCATCAAGCATACGTGCCACATCACCTCATTTTGGACTGTTCATCAATAAGTGGCACAGTCACACTTGAGGAAAAATGTGGGCGAGGGTTTCGTGGATCATAAAATTGGCTTCGCGGACCTACTAGGGTGCACGGACCCCCATTCGAGAACCACTGCTCTAGTCAATCAAAAATAAGCTTGATGTGATGCCCTTAACTGTGATGGAGAAGTATATGTCATTTGTGTGCTCAACATCACACTTCTAATGAAGCACTGATTAAACGCACAATGCTTGACGAAGCTTTCAAATCCACCAATTGTCACCGATCCTCTGAATACAACCAGCTAAGCAACCTAGTACGCATTCTATGATAGAATGTTCCATCATGCCACACGGGACTAATCGAGGCTTGCACTTTATACGGTGGACAGTCAGACGTGAGGACAGCAGTGAGCAGAGGCAGCGCTGTCAACCATATTGTCGTCTGCCGGGCAAAGAACATAGAAGGGTCTCCAAGACGGCCTCGATTGGATTGAAACTTGAGCACTCGAGCTCGAGCCGGTAAAGCAAGCTGCCTTGCTTTGCATCGGGCTTAATTTAATACCGCACTGACAGCTCACCAAATTGGCCGCCAGTGCCACCACTAAACGTCTGGTAAATGTGCGACACGAAATAGTGCCCGATCGAGACATCCACGCAAATACGTTGTTGAAGTTTTTATGTTTTGAAAAATAATGCCCCCAATCTTGATATTCAGTCACAAATAATTTCATATTTCTTCACTCGTTAAGCATTCATAAATTCATTGCACGGCTCTCGATAAGACAATCCAAACTTGACCAATTCTTCCAGGGCACTCTCACAATGCTAACCAGCTGTCTCCTCCCTCCCGTTCTTTTTTTATGTTGTGTTCTGTTACGTCATGAAACACATGCAAGATCACATCCCAAGTGACATGAAAATGGACACCACTTACGTTGCTCCCGGGAGGCGCACAGCCGGGAAGACAAAGTCGTCTGCATACTTTGGATCCCTGAAGCGAACGCTGTGTGGTCCAAAAAGAGAGATAAAGAGAAGCAAATGAGATTAGTTTCAAAAGAGCAAAATCAATGTACCGACAATGGGCTTTACGAAACATTGGATCAGTACTATATGAAAAGAGCTTACCAGACAACCATGTTGCCTGGGATGTCCTCCAAGCCTGGAATGACTGATCGCACGTCGCTGAAAAAATTGGTAGCAAATAAATAATGCATCGGTATAAAAAAAATCTTGCAGACAAAACACAGCATGTTGTAACGTTTTCCACGGCAAAGTCACGAGAAGGTTACGGGGACCACGTTGATGGGCAACTGCGGAGTGATTTTTACTGCCTGCGGTTCTTTTAACTTAAAGGGACACTAAAGTCAACAATTAGGTCGACATTGATTGTTGAAATGGCTGTCCAGAAACCTCATAGTGTTACTTTTGTGCAAAGGAAGGGCCTATTTTGAAATAAAATCACCTTTTGGTGCTCCGTGTCAGGTTAGCGCACTTCAAATTACGCGCCTTAAGAAGCGGACCGACCGGACCGCCTCACGTCACTGTTGTCGTGCACAACGTTGCCCGGCTTTACTGCGCTAGTAGCAGCAGACCGAATGCAGTGGGAGCCACAGCAGCAGCAACGGCCATAGATCAATTTTCTGCTATTGGCTTCGAGATTGCAGACGCTTTTGTTTCAACTGTGCCCCACTAGGTGGCACCACCTGTCCCGTGTAACCACACGAAAATTTAATTTTTGAACCATTCGCGCCATTACCCATAGTAACGTCCAGCGGTTCTTTTTTCCATGGATCAAACAGAAACAAACAAGCAGCATTTTATTGCGTCTCTTAATGCCCGGAACGTTCTTTATTTAGAGCAGTTAGATCGATTACTAGTGAGTCTTTGAAGGCGGTCCGTCTGATGTCATCGGGATCATTTTGAAAATGTCCTACTGCGGCGTTTGTGTTGTTGTGCATTTACCTCAATTTCTCGGTAAGTAGGGCACTGTTGTTGATAATATTGTTACGGAAAAGAAGAGACGCTGTAACGACGAGGCTGGGGATTAGATATATTCAAAACCAGCGGTAATGGCGTGCCCAATTCACCAGCGATCGAGCGGAGACAACCCTTCGTCTTCCTCGTCAGGCACACACGCCCGTCGCCCCCTAGAATATCAATATACATGCATGTAGCATAACCCCCAGCGGCGCAAGCGCCGTCTCGGCGCATTTAAATGTCAACGTCACTAGGAGAGTTGTAGGGCTTCAAGCGCGCAACATGTACAATATCGGTAGCCTGTTGGGCACATGAAGGCAACGGGGCGGCAGGACCAATTTCATATGTTACAGGAGTAACCACACGAAGGACTCGGTATGGGCCTGTGTAGCGAGTAAGCAGTTTTTCCTGACAAGCCAACTTGACGAGTCGGAGACCAGAGCAGTACCAAAGAACAGGGCGGAAAGTGTACGTCGCGGTGTCGTTGGTCATACAAGCGCTGTTGCTTCTCTTGTGAGGTCAGAAGGTGAGTACGGGTGATTTCGCGTGAGTGAGCGGCCCGAGTGATAGCGTCCATGGCATATTCACTGGTCGGTACTCCAGGGGACGGTATGACGATGTCTGGAGGCAATGTTGGTTCTCGGCCAAACAGCAGAAAAAATGGAGAGTAACCAGCAGTGTCATGGCGCGACGAATTGTAGGCAAATGTGACGTACGGCAACGCGAGATCCCAGTCGGTGTGGTTGGTAGAAACATACTTAGCGAGCATGTCTGTAAGAGTTCGATTTAGACGCTCCGCGAGTCCATTGGAAAGACAGAAGGCTCGGTGTCGGTGTCATGCATAGTGCTCGACTCAGCGACCGGGTAGCGGGACAGGCAGTCTGCGTCCTGATGTAGGCGTCCGGACTTGTACGTCACCGTAAAGGTGTACTCTTGGAGTCGCAGAGCCCAGCGACCGAGCCGGCCAGTAGGATCCTTCAGTGTCGTAAGCCAACATAGTGCATGATGGTCAGTTATCACAGAGAAATTAGTGCCATATAAATATGGGCGGAACTTTGAGACTGCCCAAACAAGAGCAAGACATTCACGCTCCATAATAGAATAGTTGCGCTCAGCAGCTGTGAGGAGGCGGCTAGCGTAGGCGACAACTCGGTCGTGTCCCCGTTGGCGCTGGGCTAACACGGCTCCGATTCCGTGACCACTAGCATCAGTTCGAACTTTTGTCGGAGCGAATGGGTCAAAGTGAGCCAATATGGGTGGAGTCGTCAGTAGTGTGATTAGGTGAGAAAAAGCAGCAGCTTGGTCGGTACCCCACGTAAATGTGACGCCTTTCTTCAGAAGCTCTGTGAGGGGTCAAGAGATGGTTGCGAAATCTTTCACAAACCTTCTAAAATAGGAGCAAAGTCCTACAAAACTTCGAACGTCTTTGGCTGACTGGGGCACAGGAAAACTGGTGACTGCACGAATTTTCTCAGGGTCCGGCTGCACACCAGAGGCGTCGACAAGGTGGCCCAACACTGTAATTTGCCGGCGTCCGAAGCGGCACTTCGACGAGTTGAATTGGAGGCCTGCAGTGCGGAATATGTCGAGAATAGCTGACAAACGCTGAAAGTGGGTCTTAAACGTTGGGAAATATACAACGACATCAAGATAACAAAGACATGTTGACCATTTGAACCCTTGTAGCAGAGAGTCCATCATGTGCTCGAACGTGGCTGGGGCGTTGCATAGCCCAAATGGCATAACCTTGAACTGATATAGGCCGTCTGGAGTTACAAATGCAGTCTTCTCTTGGTCTTTTTCGTCGACAGCAATCTGCCAGTAGCCGGAACGTAGGTCTATTGTAGAAAAGTATCGGGCACCGTGGAGACAATCGAGAGTGACATCGATGCGGGGTAAAGGGTAAACGTCCTTTTTCGTGATTCTATTCAGATGACAGTAATCCACGCAGAAGCCATCTTTCTTTTTAACGAGCACAACGGGGGACGCCCAAGGGCTCGAAGAGGATTAAATAATTCCTTTGGCTAGCACCCTGCTGACCTTCTCGTTGAATTACATTACGCTCGGTGGCAGACACCCGGTATGGTCGCCGATGAAGGGGATGAGAATCACCTGTGTTAATGTGGTGCTTGACGAGTGAAGTCTGGCCAAGTGGACGGCGGTCAATGTCGAATATGTCGTGGTATGAAGCCAGAAGGCGGCATAGCGCGGTTGACTTCTCAGGTTTGAGGTCCGGGGCGATCATGGAGCATAAGGTCGCATTGAGGCACGTGGCATCTTGCGAGTGATGTGGGTGCTCGGGACATACCGTACGTCTGCCGTAAAACAGGTGACGTGGTCATCAATTAAGGGCCTTAGCGTGGCTACCGAAATTCCTTGGGGTAGCACTTGTTTTATGAAACTGAAATTGGTAACAGTTAAATATGTTCGGTTAGAGGCCATGCTTACGACAGAGTGTGGGACAGTAATGTCACGCGCCAGGAGAACATAAGTAATCCGCGTCACGTTATAATCATTCTCGAGCACGGGAAAGGGTGTTGCCAATTCAATGAATGTGAGAGCTTCAGGCGGTATTCGGAAGAAGTCAGTGGTGCACAGGCTGTTCGGGAGTTCAGGGTGAGAATCCGGGAGAAGAGGAAGTTCTAGGCAGAAAGTACCGGCGGCACAATCTATTAGGGCAGAATGCGCCGATGGGAAGTCTATGCCAAATATTAGGTCGTGGGGGCGATTTTCAAGCACCGTAAATAAAACGGGGACATGGCGGCCGGCAATACTAACACGAGCAGTACACATTCCAGTGATGGCCACAGTTCCACCATCAGCGACACGGAGGACTTTAGTTGCTGCAGGCGTGAGGACATTTTTGAGCAGGCGACACAGATGAGCACTCATTATGGACACTTGAGCTCCGGCATCGACTAACGCCGTCAAAGAAATACCGTCCACATACACCTCAATCAAGTTCGTATTAGTGGGGAGCGTCAACGGAGGATTTGGGTCATTCGCAAGCGATGCAGCACTACCTCCCGGAGCTGCATGATCTAGTTTTCCGTCCAAGAGGATCCATAGTTGACCGGCGACGGATAGTGGCGTGGTTGGGGCGATGGGGAACGGCGGCGTTGAGGTGACGGCGAACAAGCAGTGGAGCAGCTGTTAGGGATGTCGGAAGAAGGGTACACACGACTGGGCGAATACCGACAGGAGTCCTCGTATGGTCGATTAGAGGAAAATGGGCTCCAGTTTGAGGGCGTCCAAGTGCTGCGGCAGTAGTGGGAGATATGGCCAACTCGGTGGCAGCAGAAGCAAATCAGCTTGTCGTCTGCAGTTCTCCTTTCCGCCGGATTGCGGGATCGCGAAATAAAATGTAAGTCATGGCGTGGTGCATTTGTTGTCATTGGTCTGGAGACGGGTCGGGAGACAGAGCAGGCCACAGGAAAACCAAGCTTTGCAATTTCCTGCCTTACGACGACTTGAATAACAGAGACCGGCGGAGGCGTTTGTGCGGCGCCATGATCAAGCGGATGTGGAGGAAATGGTGCCGGACTTGACGCCTCAAGCTCCCGTCGAACTATTCGTGTCACGTTGTCCTGCATGGGTGGTGCGGCACCGAGATCGGTGCAAGTGGATGTAACAGCCGTGTTTGGTAGCCGCGTAAATTGAGGCAGAACACGGCGGCTTTTGGCCATTTCGAAGCGGCGGCATTCCTTGATAGTCACATCTACGTTCGTGACGTTAGTGTAGATGAGCAAATTGAAGGCATTGTCCGCGATGCCCTTAAGTATGTGGCCCACCTTGTCACTCTCTGTCATTTGCTCGTGAACTTTTCGGCACAACGCGAGCACGTCCTGTATGTACGAGACATACGACTCTGTTGAGGACTGCACAAGAGTGGTGAGTTCTTTTCGCGCTTTCATTTGGCGACCGGACGGGTCCCCAAAGATGTCGCGTAGTCCCTCCTTGAAGGTATCCCAGCTGGTGAGCTCGGTCTCATGGGCGTCGAACCAGACCCGTGGGGTGCCGTCCAAGTAAAATATTACATTGGCGAGCATCATGGTAGGGTCCCATCGGTGTGTGTGGCTAACACGCTCGTACATACGTAGCCAGTAGTCGATGTCGACCCCAGGTTGTGCGGAGAATGTACCGGGATCACGGGGGGTGGGCATCGTCAGGTATGTAGTGGCTGGAGCTACAGATGGAGACACTGACGGGCTGTTGTCATTGGTAGCCATGGCCGGAGACTGAACGGTGCGGCCACTGCGAACCTTCGTGAAGACGGGGAACGTTCCACCTCCACCAAATATGTTACGGAAAAGAAGAGACGCCATAACGACGAGGCTGGGGATCAGATATATTCAAAACCAGCGGTAATGTCATGCCCGGTTCACCAGCGATCGAGTGGAGACAACCCGTCGTCTTCCTCGTCAGGCACACACGCGCGTCGCCCCCTAGAATATCAATATACATGCATGTAGCAATATTGTCGTTTTAGACGTTTTCATACATTGAGCTTTCACTCTGACGTAAATTCTTACTTAAATTTAGTGTCCCTTTAAGTCACACGTGTTTGAGTCTTCCTCCATTTCACCCAATCAAAAGGTGGCTGCCATCTGTAGGGAATCGAACTCGCAACCTTGATCCTAGCAGTGTCACCTTAGCCACTACCACGGCAGATGTACTAATAAAAACATCTGATTCTTCAAGCATGTCTGCATTTTGTGATTTACTATTTCCATCAGTTTTCAGCATGAATGGCAACAAGAGATTTTCATTTGCAAAACCACGGAATCTCCTCCCTTGCAAACTCTGAACATATCGGTTGACTCATTTCTACCATTAACACGCATGACAACTGCTGCTGTGTGTACGATGCTTTTTCTTTATTTAAGTTTTCTTTTATGTGTGTATGCTGTTTGAATCAAGACGAACCATTACCAACTTGCCCAAGTTATTGTCTTACTGACCATTCACTCTCACTATTGCGGTCACCACTGCTTACACCACATTTACCAACACCCTCATTCACTGCACCATCTCCAATGCTAGCCACGACAATAAAGATCACAGTAAAAAATTTTTGCAGCCACTCGAAATTTGTAGGCTAGAACCTTTGTTACTTCAAATATGTTAACTAGAACCTGTTCCTAGATTTTTGTTATTCGTTGAGGTTTTTGTGTTTTTCAGTTTCCACCTCTTGAATCGAAGGTGTGGCTTTTACGACCCACAGGTGCAGCCTTTACACAAGTACATACGGTATATAGCAAGGAATAAACTAGATATTTTAGGTGAAAGAATACCACTCACTCTCCTGGTCCAACAGCATTGTGGCTCAGCAAAATTTTCCCGCCAATTCCACTGAAGTACTTCGGTTCCAGGTCAAACTCCTGAAGCACAATGTTGCTCGCATTACATACTGACATGGGCCTGAACCACTTCAACTTGAACTTGCTGGCATAGACAACACTACCAACCATAAGTTCACAGAATTGCAAGAAAAAAAAAAAAATGCCATTCAGGTGATGAAACTAATGTGAAATTAACAAGAAGCATCACGAAGAAAGCCAAAGGATTTGACAGTGGACACGTACAATCTCCAGTTGACTTAAAACTAATTTTCTCCATCAAAAATTACTACATTGCTCAATGGCTTATTCTTCTAGACCTAGCCATGCTTAGCATGTAACATATCACAGAACTGGTGAAATATTTTGCTTCTTGCTCAAGGATCAAAACAAGGGCCAACACTTTTTCATGGCTGATCACTCTATCAGATGGGCCAATAAAAAAAGTAAGTCTATCCCAAATTATTCCTATAACATAACTTCCTAATAAAAGAGCACGTTCATATGCAAATGCAAACTGCTCAGTCCACCAAGTTTAGTACAACGCATAATCTAGCCAGCACTTCTCACATAAGATACATGACACTTTTAGACTCACGCAAACAACTTCAGTTGAATTACATAATGAAAGGTCTCAGAAAAAAGTGTGCCCATAGAATCACATTGATAAGGAGGAACAAGTTTCTGACAGACAGTTTCTGGGGTTGTTAAGTGTTGTCAAGTCACTGGCGACCATAGAGTTTCTACACTAGAGGGAACTCTAACACTTGTACCTATAGGAGCTGCAATGCATGGCACTTCAGCGAGCAAGAGAACGATGGGTAATACATCGATTTGCCTAATTTTTCTACTACCGCCTCCATTTGCCTTCGCCTGACTTAGAGCTGCTTTATTATGAAATGACAATCAGCAAATGTCCTGCAGTTGCACTTCACCACCAAAACCTTCTAGGCTCATAAATTCAGATCGGGTAACTAAGTTAAAAATAGTTTGTTCTTTCATTCTAAACAAAACCAAAACACAGCAACAAACAAAGCCACAAATGCGTTCAAAGCCCGAAAGCACGAAGACAAGGCAAATCCATGTGCTACCCATCATTCCCTTGGTCGCTAAACGATTGCAGCACCCCAGAGTCCTCTTTAGTTAATTTTAGGAAACTGTATGCTGGTGACTGCTGATGATCAGATTAACAGCAGTGGGACCTAATTAATGCAAGTTCGTCAGGCTCATTTAGATGTTTTGCTGCGACCTCAAGAAAATCATCTAACAATCAGGTGCCCAACCAAGCCTCGTTTTATTGTGCCTTCCGATTCGACCAACATCCACTATCTCTCTATGAACTGGTGGCTCGTAGGATGGCATGAAAATAAAAAAAAAAATCTTTAGTTCCGTTACCTTCACTTTCGAAAGGGCACTAAGGACCAACCTCTCCTATGACTGAGACATTTCCTTATTCATCAACATAAGGGAATGAGTCTATGAGATGCGTGCATACAATGCTTTTGTTAACATGTATGGCTTTGAAGGTGGTACGTGCCATGCTGAAAAAAACAGGGAACGTGCAGTTTTAAAAGCGGGTAAGTCTCCCTCACCATGTTATAGTCCTTGCAGGCTTCATAAAGGCCAAGAAGATAGCTGTAGCCGCGATGGCCCTTGCGCACGTAGAAGACGTCGTCCCCTCTCGTGTTGCGCTTCCCTGCACATCAAACCGAGTACGATTGTGCTACGGCAAATAGCACAAGAAAAGCATAGAAAGAGCAAACAAAAAATGGCAAGGATCGCAACACAGAAAACTACTGCATCCAACATTACTATTCACTTTTTACTTTGCTTTGAGCTTGGCTCAGTTCTGGAACTTTTAATCTGTGGCTCGAACATTTACCACAGCATTGGTCTCGCGTGTATAGGCAGCTTAGTACAGACGGTGCGACATCTCTAAAATGTTACCCCTGATCTGTGCAAAGTGCTTACGACACCACTGGGGACTAAAAAGATTAAAGAGACAGGAGCCATGCTTATATGAAGAAAACTGCAACCCAACAACTGCAGACTTGAATGAGTTATCACATATGAGTCTCTTATTTCCAGAAAGCTTAGAATCTGCTTCATAGCTCTACTCCTGCTACCCTTAGACATATCTCTCTTTCTCTCTATGCAACCCAACAAACGTGTGCATGCATGTACACACACACAGAAATGCATACACGCCCTTTTCAGTACTTATTATGGAATGCATTGATCATAGTAGTAGTATTCAAGAAATAACATAAACTAAGAGATAATGAGAATAAAACTCACTCTCGTCTTCAGTGAGATGTGGATAGACAGTCTGCACAGTCTCGAGCAGTCGCTTCTCATCCACGAAGGGTAGCAATGCCACACCTGTTGGAAGAATTTAACAAAATTTTAAGGTGTCACAGCTTTGCCACCAAGGCAAAGCAATGAACGCGATAAGCAGATTGAAACGTGCCCAGCGTTTCTCAGGTACAAATGACGCACGAAACATACATACATAAATGACGCACTAAACATAATAACAGGTACAGATGAACGCGAGTAAGTTATGACAAACTGTACAGAACCTGCGAAATGTGCATAGCCACTGGATACCTAGCTGTGTCTCAAGAAGCTTTCTCGGTGGCCATGTATACTTGTGCGCATGTTTTGAAGTGTAGCTTACAACTGTGGAGAGGATGTTTCCACAAAGTCAGTTCCACCAAAAAGGTGAAGCAATGAAAGTGATAGCGACATATTGCAATGTTATACATACAAGTCAGGCTGGCAGTCAACTCATTTCAGATCTGATCTCACGTAACTATACAAACGCTGGTGTAAGATAACACGACCGCTCCAGGTACGCTCTTGGCATTTCTTTTCAGTGTTGAGAGAGCAGCCCATAGAGGCTCCCACCTGCCATGGGGGCACAAGGCGCGCCCTGATTGTTGCCGTGTTAGTGTGGGCAACCATAAGCGCCCCCCTGCCCTTGTCTGCTAGCGAGATAAGCGCGCGCAGACGATCGCAGCTGGAAAGGCAGTGTTCGCTCTGCAGAAACAGAAGGCTAGCGCGACCTTCCCTACATATACATATACGTGAATGATGGTGGCGGCTATGGCAAAAAACCAGCCGAGACTGTGCGTATAATTGCTATGGCAATAATAAAAAAAAAACATAATACCATGTGACACACACTCATTCCACAGTACAATATTAAGCATAAGTTTTCTTTAAATTCGAAACATTCTTATTAGGCTTGCCGCGAATAGTGAATTTTATTTTTGAAGTGAATTCCATGCGAATAGCGGTACCACTCAAATGTTATAGAATCGAATTCAAATGGTATATATCATATATTATCAACAAAAATGAGCACATTTGCCATACCCAACCAACCTGCACAATATTATTTTTAAAAAATGAGATAGGGCATCTGATCTTCTCTCGTTGAAAGAAAGTGCAAGCAACTTTGAATGACCGCAGAATATGAATTTCAGTAGATTGCAAGTGAAAACCTGGAAAATATGTTACGTTTTAAAATACACTTATTTACTACACTTAGAGCATATACATTGGTGTAAAATGCTTTTAAACTTAAGAAACAAGGAACCAATGCGAGAGTGATATATTCATTTAAACTTAAAGCAAAACTTTGTGACAGTGCGAACTACTTCTAGACAACTGTTTTCACGACTTAGCACACCTCTACTGCAGTGAAACCACCTTTACAGGGAATTACAGGTAGCTTATCGTACAACAATTCAGTCACTTCGAATACTTCGAAATTGGCAATAATTTCAATTCGAATTCAAGCGGATTCGAATACAGTAATATTCTCTCAAATATCCAAAGTGTTTGAATATTTGCACAAACATAACTCTTATACAAAATAAACTTTGCGGGATATCAAATAGGGCACGTCAGAGCTTGTACGAGACGAGTTTACACTAGCGGGCTAGGACCTCTTTGAATTGCATTATAGGTCAAGGCTGCTTTCCATGACTGCCATTCAAAAAGTAAACAGATGCCGGAATGCCGCAGGTTTTTTTAATGGCTCTGAAAAGCTCATGCATTAGGGTCATGCTTTAAGACGGTTAATGATTAATGCAGATACTATCGGTGCTCTACCAGAGCAACCGATTGGGGGTCATTGGAAAGTGTGGCTAAAGACTGTGAAGGACTAAGGGAAGTGGTGAACATGAGGACATCATTTCCAAAAATAAATAAATAAACAAAATACAAAGCTGCCCACCTTGCCAGGCGTACTTCTTGCCGTTCAGGTCAATCTTAAAGTCAGTAGGATAGAAGTCAATGATGGGTGAGTCCTGAGGAAGCAAGGCAGGCAAAATTTTGTCACCACAGGCTGCTGCCAGCACACGGGGAGGGGTTACGGGAGAGAAAATGGGCAGCGGGAGGAAGGAATCAGAGAAAAGACACACAGCACACATCAAACACCACACGCACATTGTCCCTTGTGCATACAAACACCTGTGTGCCCATTACAAAGCAAACGATGAGAGAACATTGACGGACATAAACTAGCTTACATGGCAGCATTGCCATCCAGGAATGTCCAAAATAAAAAGAGAAAAAGATGTCTTCAACTAGCTTGATCAATCACTCGTGGCGAAAAAAAAAAAAAAATCTTGCGAGACAAACCTTTCTCACTTCCTGACACCATAATGAATACCGTAATTACTCGAATCTAACGTGCACCTTTTTTCCGGTTAAGCAAGTTCATAAATCGCATGCGCGTTAGAATCGAGTACGAACAAAAAATTTCCGTCAATCCATTGACATCAGCAAATCCAAAATGGCCGCCCCCTACGTGCGTCGGCATGGCGCGTCGGCCATTTCTGCCAATGTGTTTCCCATGTGCGGCGCTTCGTACGTGTGCTGAGGAGTTCGTCATCTAGTAGTGCATTAGCATCGACGGCGTGGAAGGGCTGACTCCAAAAACTCGAGTGCACCACGATGCTGCTTTTAAAAGAAAAGTCATCGCGTGTGCAGAAACGGACGGAAATCGGGCCGCATCGCGGTCGTTCGGAGTTCCCGAAACGTGCGTGCGGGACCGGCGGAAACAAAAGCAGAAGATTGTCGACAGCAAAGCTTCACGCAAAGGCTTCAGTGGACCACAGCAGGGTCGGTTTCTGCAAATTAAAGAGCTGCTCGGCGTGTATGTGCTTGAGCAGCGAGCGGCACAGCGGCCCGTGACGACAGAACTGCTCCAAGTGCGGGCTATGCAATTAGTCTTAGAAAAAGGTCTAATGCGGAGCCAGTTTAAAGCGAGCAGGTGCTGGCTAACTAGCTTTATGAAAAGGAAAGGCTTTTCCCTCCGAAGGGGAACATGCATATGCGAAAAGTTTTGCGGAGAAATACGATGAAAAAGGTTCGTCCTAAACTTGCGGCGCAACAACGGCTACCTGCTTGCGCAAATCGGGAATGCCGATCAGACGCCTCTTTACTTCGACATGCCTGGCACCACAACCGTCGAGAAAGGGGCGAAGCAAGTTCACGTGCTGACATCGGTCCACGGTAAAACTACAGTGACGGCAATGCTCTGTTACACGTCAGATGGGCACAAGCTTCGCCCGTACTTTATATTTAAATGGAAGACACTCCCGAAAGGAGTCGTTTTTTCGAGTGGTGTGATCGTGCGGGCCAGCGAGAAAAATGGGTGCGCGTTGCAATCGATGTCTTACGTTTTTTTTTTTTTCCGCTGTAGAAATCGGGTACACGTTACAACCGAGGGGGCGGTAGAATCGAGTAAATACGGTAATGTATTTACTCGAATAATGAACCCACGTTTTTTTCAGAAAAGTTGGTGCCAATTTGAGGGGAGGCTTTATTACGCGGGAGATAAAAGTCATGGTAGTTATGACAGCGAAAATTTCACATGACGGTTTTGCTTGTCTTGGTCCGCAAAATGGGAGACGAATCTTTTTGTAGCCCGAAGCTTTTTTCTTCTATAACGAACGCAAAGGGATCGACGCTGAAGTGTCGTCCAGCTGCTCGGTTCCCATGCTACAGAGCATGCTCGACCACCTTCCAGTTTAAAACCAGCTGCGTAGCTATTGTACCGGCCATACGCACCTTGCTCAGCAGGTGTCAGAGGTGTCCTCAACTAAGCTCACTACGACAAACCTGACAACAAAAACGTGGTGCAAAAACATCGCAGGCGACACGCTGTCGGCACGGTAGACGCTTTACATGGTTTCCGAGTTGGCGGGCACGTGGCGAGTTTCTACGCTACGTGCCTGCCATCTCGGAGGTCATGCGTTTGCTTTTTGCTTTGTTCTCAAGGCCGCTGTGCTTGCATGAGACTATAAGCAAAGAGGTTTCACCTTTATTCGACAGATGGCAGATGGCACTCTGCCCCGAAAGGCCCGACTTCTAAATTTTGATTGACGTCGTCCACGTCCCCGCTGCTCGCAACCATTTAGCATGGTTGAGAAACTATGCTTTGACTTTCATTGCCTCATTATTTTGTGATACAATGGCTTTATTTAACGTTGTTTCGATCGTCAACGGCACTGAGTATCACACCGAAATAAAATGAACAGATACATTTAAAAAAAAAAACATTTCTTTTTCTTCTTCCAAGAATGAAGGGGGGGGGGGGGGGGGGTGGATTCATTACGCAAGTAAATGCGGTAAATAGAATCATATTGTGCTGTTTATTGTGCGTGAACCTCGCACTGGCCAGCTAAAACCTCACAGTAGCAGCGCTCGTCCTGTGCAATCTGCGTTCCTTTTAACTTTGTAGCGCTGTGTCAATCATGGAAGCATTCCAACTAGCACAACTTTCCTTTCTACGGCCAGCTCAGTGCCCATGGAAAGAGTTGCCTATACAAGAATCTGGTGGAGCAGAAACATCAAAATATGAACATGTATCATATGAATTTAATAGCAAACACCAAGCCGTAGGAATAAGGACAAGAAAAACTTTGGGAATGGGGAGGAAAGCATAAAGAAATGTAGTATGGGGTGGGTGGGTACACATGATCTCAAGATAGTTTGCTAAGACACCAATCAGTAACAGCTATCCGTTACTGACCACCTTTCTATGCTATTTGTTGAGACTTTCTTGCCGTTTGTCTATTTAATGTTTATCTTTTGTAATGAAAAGGATGCCATCCCTGTGCACTCATCCAAGAAAGGTCTCCAGCTAGATGTGAACAAGTGAATGATGCACTGGTTATGCTTAACAAAAAGTAAATGCTAGGGGTGGGACCGCTCAAACCACCTTTCGTGTTGTTTTAGGGGGCCTGAAAAATTGTTTGGGGTACCTACACGGATAGATAAATCTTGCTAATCTAAGAGGGAATGCTCTTTGCAAACAAGACTTCTTGACCATCCCCTATTGCCAGATTGAATACACATGACAAATGCTAACGATTGGTTGCCTCACTTGCACAACACACGGCTCAGCAGTGAAACACAACTACAAAAACGAGGGTTATCTGATAAAAAAAGAAAAACATTCACTGTAACTAATTTTCAGTAAAAATATTTGTTGTGCTGGATGAAGAAATTGAATTTGCCACTGTTATTTTGCATAACTGTGTGTTCTTACAGATACTCTGTACCTTTGTGAGAATAAATGTTGCATAACTTCAAACGAGGTGGAAATCGTAACAATATCCCCCCACCACCTTTTTTTTTGTGCATGTAACCCGCCATTTTGGACTTTCTACAAGCAAACTGAATTGCTTTTTGCCCAAGCTTGTCTGCATCTAAACAATGCTAATAAACATTGATTTGATTTGATGTTCTCTGCATGAAAGCAGCAGACTACCATTTTCCTTTGCAACAATCAGGCACGAGCTAAAAAGCCTTGCAGCCTCCAGTGCTGATGTGTGAAGAACACACTCACCGGGTCATCCATGAGATCAGCCCACGGCAGGGGCAGGTGCTGCTTGCTGGCGGCTGGGAACACACTCATCAGCTGTTCCATGGGCTTGAACTGTGGTGAAATAGGAGAAAGCTGAAAACATTCTCTCGACACTGCGCCATACTCGGCGCCAACTTTTCTTGACAGCCCGTGGAAGCTAGAGAACCGATATGAATGAAAAATAGCGCTTACGTTTACTGATAACTTTCTCATTAGCCTCGCTGAAATAAATGCTGCTTTGTTAAGCATAAAACACAAGCAGTTGCAGCAAGTCGTTGGCAATATCCGGGTATTGTTCACTTTGCAAGAATGCCTTTCCATTCTTCTGTTTCTGGACAGCACCACTTTTACAGCATGCCCTTTTTCCAAAACAAACCTGGCGTCTATGATGTAGTGGATCGGTGCAAATACATGACTTAGCTCTCCAAGAAAAAAAAACTTATAATATGGCACTAAAAAGTACACCGAGCCACTGAAATTTCTCAGATTCCCATTTCTTGTGATCTATGCGTGGTTGCAGCTGTGGCACTGTAGTGTAGTGTGTGCCCGTGAGGATATAAGGATAGGTGCTGCTCGCAATTGTGGGACGCATGCTCGAGTGCTCCAACTCGGTTCCGTTTTTGAAATATGAAAATGTCATGTTTGGTGCGGATTTGATGCAAAAAAGTGAAAATGTAGCAGTACGTAGAAGGATTTGTCTTTTGGGGCAGTTTGGCACATCAGCGCAGCTTTCACATAACTTTCGCCTCTTTTGATAAAATTAGTACCTCTACTGTTCTGAAAAAAAAAAAAAAAAAATACAGGTCGAGACTTAACTGGAAATGCTTTAAAATTGCATCTAAAGAGCACCAGGTGCATGTTAAAAGGTCCAAAGTGTGCAGTATTCGAGCACCTTGCCTCGATAATGCGCCGCCGCTCGCCATTGTTGATCGCATAAGTCACATAAGTCGAAGAGTCAAGCCTCACTCTTCAAATAACAACAGTTTCTATCACTGATGCAATGCAGGAAATAATAAAAGAAAGCACACTTCTGCACGTTTTTCGAGCACCGAGACTGGCTTATCACGTGGTATGGATCGGGGACCGCCATTGGCCGCTGCGCGCCTGTATGTGCTGTGAAACCTATTTGTGCGGTCCATGTCTTGTCGAGCAGCGCCGCTGAACAATGCTTTTCTCGTGTAATTATCTCCATTTTGAATGAAAAAAGGCATTGCTTGCAAGTGAAAGCCGTTGTGCGGCGCGCTCTGTAGGAATAGGCTACGAGCAGCTGGTTCGATTTGCGGCAGTTGTTGGCTTGCAAAAGCCAAAGCATCAAAAGTCATTCACACCCGTCAGCCGGAAAGTTCGTGATGCGGCAATGGATGACGTCAGCGCCAATCTTGAGAGGTTGAAAGAGTTCGCAGTGAGAGAACTTAGCAGGGACGACATTACCATTATGTAAGACGGTATGTGGCAAAAACATGGCTGCAAAATGACATGATACTGGACTTAGTTTGGATTTCGCAGTCCTGCAGAACTTCTTCCTAGCTTGCAGTTGGCACAAGGCTCTGCCAGATGGAGCAGAAGTCAGGCAAGCGTTTCATGGCCCTGTCTGTGAGCGAAATGTGTGTGAGGAGTCGACTCGAAAAAGCCGAGAGGGACAAACTAATGGTGCTGGCATATTTTAGTCGTAGTGGCCACTACAAGAAGGATTGTTCTTTTTGGTGTGCAAATTTCATCAGATTTAATGATATTTTTAATAAATAACAGCTGAATTTTAACTTTAAAACTCGTTTTTCTGAAAACACAAATTTTGCCATTTTTTCCAATGTGCCCCTCTTTTTTTGGGCTCTTTTGGTGCTCGGATCTACATAAAATTTTGCCCAAATTTTTTTCGGAAGTATGACATATGCAATTATCTAGTTTTAATTTCAATATTTTATTGTATAATAAAAAATTGTATGTAAACCTTTACTAGGGTAGGTGAAATATGAATTTTTACGTATATCATTTTTCACACGTATTGCATATTTTGTATGTGCTTCCTAATTTGTTACTTGCATTCTACACTTTATTTGAAACATTATAAACTATGAATGGTAAAAAATTACAGACATTTAGGGATGAAAAGAGGAGGGGCAAAAGGGTTAAGGTTTTCACTTTGTCATGTTGCAGAGCTCAAAGTGTGCAACTTGCAAGAAAACTAATTGTTTATTTGAAATCAGCATAAGAAGTTCTAAAAACAGCTCAAATTTCATTGCTCTAGGGTGAATATTAAAAAAAGTGTCTTCGAGTAGCATCTCCCCTTAAACTAACATATTTTGCCACTTACTTGTATAACTTCCATTGTATTATTATTTAAATCCTGCTGCTCCCAAATTGCTTGACAGTAATTACCATTAATATCGACTTCAGTTTGAACCAAAAATACATTAACTTTTCGCGACTGGAAAAAAAGAAAAAAAATGTGCCAAAATGACCGAAAATCTTTTTTGACTCACTTTGTTGAGCTTCTTTTTTTTTTGAATAAAATGGTGCCATTAATTCAGCAAAATAATATTTCTTTATTTTATTGAGTGCTTAAAAAAATACTGCATGCATAATATCACATTTGGCAAGGCAATTAACGGTGAGACACAGGAGGCAGATGCGTAATAAACTCTAGTGGGGGGGGGGGGGGGGAGGACAAGTGGGGCTATCTGGCATTGAAAAACACAACTACAGTGGTTATAGTTGTCATTGGTTCCACATGAGACCATTTTTTGTTGATGACGACATTGATGACATTAGAAAGTCCCATGACTACTATACGTACTCCTCGACGGTCATGGTATGGTTATTGAAGTAGCTTTTGTTCTGAAAAAATAAAATTACAATCTTTTTCTTATTGCCAAAATCTGACATATGCTATGCTTTTGTTACCAGAAGTTCGAGGCACATACAATATCTACATAGTTTGCGACACTCGCATGTCATTAGTTGAAGCCATTTTTTTTTTTACTTTGTACCCATAAAACAGAGGCCCTATCTTTAATATGGGGCTGCTAGAACCAAGGTAAATACTGCCAAATAAGCTCATAGTGGGCTTGACTTTATTTGCCTTGTTTAATTCGACCAACTAGATAATACAACCGATTATGGCAGTTTTATTCACGATTAAAAGTCCTCTCCAACATGTGCACAGCTTATGCAATTGGCATAAATATTGACCAATTAATTTTTTGACTGGTTTATCGATTGATTGATTGCTTGATTTACGTCAGAATATCGGAACCATATAGGAGATGCCGCAGAGAAAGAATAACATTATTTAATTAGTTTTCATCAGTCTGCACCTAACTCTGAATGCACCATCATTTGCACATTTCCTCCCCATCATAACTTGGCTACAGAGGCTGTGGAACCAAACTCAATGCTTCGTAACAGACGCCTCACAGCACAAGTGTGGCAAACTATCCAAATGCACATCTACAGCCAGCAGATAGCTAAAGCTTAGTCAAGCACACCAGCAAAACATCTCTTTGTTATAGGCCCTCGACAAAGCAAAAATCACAGCGTGAGCTTGCTGCCGAACAGTTCAAATACACATCCACCAACAGATAGATAAAGCAATTATATCGTCAACTACATCAGCAAAAACATCGCTTTGTCATAGGCACTAGTTGAATTCAAGCACTCACGGGCTGGGTTCCTCGTTCAAACTCGATATTGAGGTCACCAACGTTAATAAAGTCAGACGCAAATGGGGCGTAATGGTACGGGAAAAACCACTTCCAGGATGCACAGCCCTGTGAGAAAGCACAGAGAAGAAAAAATGGCATTCAGCAGAGAGAAAACTGCGAATTCACTTGCGAATGCCCATTTCTTATCCCATGCAATTTCAGAGATGACACATTATACGCAACATTTTCCCAGAACATCCTACTGAATCACTTTTGTACGGGGAACCAGTGAAGGCTCACTCATTTTGAGCCTCGGGAAGGCAATGTGAGCGTTGCTTCACATATAGCTGGAGGAGCTACAGTACCCTAAGAAACCACTCCAGTCTGAAGAACTTCCAATTAGCTTCTTGCAGCGGTAGTGAAAGAAAGCCAGAGAGCTTTCAGAGGATCTTTCGCACAACAGTTGACTCATCATCTCATGAGTTAGTACTTGTTACGTGTTTCACAATAATGTTTATTCAAGTTCACTCATAAATATGATTTTAACCCCTTAACCATTCTGTTTTAAAGCTTTTTTTTCCCCATTAACACTGAATATTTGGTTGAAAAAAACAACAACAAAAACACGTTTTGATTGACAAAAGAACGAAATTGATGCCTATATTCAGCCAAACTGCACAGTGAAGTTTATTGTTCTACAGCTTATTAGTGTCTTCCACGATTCGCACCATAACGGCTTCGTCTAGAAGCTGATGATACAACACATCAAGCTGGCTTGGGTGGGTAGGGGAGCGTGAAATATGCGAGTAAATATTTTTTTTCCCGAAAAGCTGAAAAAATATTAGGGGTGTGCAAATTATGCGACGGCGCAAATCATGTGCGTAAATACGGTAATCACTGCAGAAGAAGCCACGAAACAGCTATGCAAATTTCACGAAGGAGCCTAAAAGAACCAAAAGTTAACGAATTTTCCCATTCTTGGAAATATTTTTATTTGCCTATACTAAAAAATGTCACTCAAATACAAAGGACAGTTGAAAAAAACACTTGTACTATTATGTACAGCGAAACTACGTGCAACCGTGATGAAAGCACATATATTTACTTTTCATAATTGCCTCCTTTGGGTTGAATGCACGTTTGCAGTGCATGATTAATTTTACTCGTTCACTTCCCACTACGTGTGTTTGCCGCCAACACTCCACTCAAGGTCACCGACTAAAGCGCTATGAGTGAATGTGATCATCACTTAAACAACTATATTTGCTGGACAAATACAAATAAGTCCTGAAAAAGTGACAAGTGACTAGAAAATTCTACAAGTGAATCCGTGCTAAAAGAAGCCTAAATTTGCTTAGTATAAGCAGAACTGGCAATTCCGCTGCATAGAACGAGTGGTCATACACCTAACTGGGTATCTAAACAGTCCCAATGCACTTGCCTGGTAGTAATAGCGAAGAACCCAGCAGAGGCCTTCAACGTAGGCGGAAGCCTGCGAAAACATTCGACGTTAAGTTACCCCAATGCCCACAACTGTTGGGAGAAGAAAAAGAAAAAGAAGAAAAGCGACCAACAAAGAACAGAAACAACACTTGCCACGTCATGACGAAAGGCTATATTGTCGGGCCCAATGTCAAACTTGGACACGTAGTAGCGCTCCCTCCAGCCGTCCTCCCAAAGGCTGCATTGAAACGAGCAACAGCCATGAGCCCAGTTTCGCCAGCGCATCATAAGTGTTCATCACTGAGATGAGCGTTCATTCCTACGTTTGCTGATTTTGTAGTGGTTTATTGCTATGTCAGTTTCTTGGTACTTCTGTACCTTGCTGCCACCTTTGATCGGCAAGTTTTGTGTTAAAGGTCAAGTTGAATGAGTTTTTTCGTGTGCAATGTCTTTTGCACATGTTAGCGAGGATGCGCCGGCAAAGTTTTGGCATAATTTGCAAAGCCCCTTTTTTGCAGCCCTAAAATAAGCGAAAAAAAAAGAATATATGCGAGTCAGGCAAGTAAACTTGTTAATAACAAATTATGCCAAAGCGAAAATTCGCCGAATTCGTACTTAGAGAGCTCGATGTAGCCAGGGCACTGAGAGCAAGCACGCTTTAAGGGGAGATGCTACTCGAAGACACTTTGTTTTTAATATTCACGTTAGAGCAATGAAACTTGATCTGCTTAAGGAACTATTTATGCTGATTTCAAAAATATAAATAGTTTTCTCGCAAGTTACACACTTTTAGCTCTGCAACATGACAAAGTGAAAACCTTAACCCTTTCGCCCCCCCCCCTCTTTTCATCCCTAAACTTCTGTAATTTTTTACCATTCATAGCTCATAATGCTTCAAATAAAGTGTGGAGTGCAAATAACAAATTAGGAAGCACATACAAAATATGCAATTACGTGTGAAAAATGATATACGTAAAAATTCCATATTTCACCTACTCTAGTAAAGGTTTACATACAATTTTTTATTATACAATAAAATATTGAAATTAAAACTACATAATTGCATTTGCCATACCTTGAAAAAAATTGGGCAAAATTTCATGCAGATCCGAGCACTAGAAGTGCCCGAAAAAGGAGGGGCACATTGGAAAAAATGGCAAAATTTGTATTTCGAGAAAAACGAGTTTTAAAGTTAAAAATGAGTTTTTATTCATGAAAGATATCATTAAATCAGACAAAATTTGCACACCAAAAAGAACAATCCTTCTTGTAGTGGCCACTGCGACTAAATTACGCCAGCACCATGAGTTTGTCCCTCTCGGGTTTTTTGAGCCGACTCCTCACACACATTTCGCTCACAGACAGGGCCATGAAATGCTTGCCAAACTTGTGCTCCATCTGGCAGAGCCTTGTGCCAACTGCAAGCTAGGAAGAAGTTCTACAGGACTGCGAAATCCAACTAAGTCCAGTATCATGCCATTTTGCAGCCATGTTTTTGCCACATACCGTCGTACATAATGGTAATGTCGTCCCTGCTAAGTTCTCTCACTGCGAGCTCTTTCAACCTCTCAAGATTGGCGCTGACGTCATCCATTGCCGGATCACGAACTTTCCGGCTGACGGGTGTAAATGACTTTTGATGCATTGGCTTTTGCAAGCCAACAACTGCCGCAAATCGGACCAGCTGCTCGTAGCCTATTCCTACAGAGCGCGCCACACAACGGCATTCACTTGTGAGCAAAGCTTTTTTTAATTCATAACGGAGATAATTACACGAGAAAAGCATTGTTCAGCTGCTCTGCTCGACAAGACATGGACCCTGCAAATAGATTTCACAGCACATACAGGCACGCAGCAGCCAAAGGCGGTCCCCGATTCCTACCATGTGATAAGCCAGTCGCGGCGCTCGAAAAACACGCAGAAGAGTGCTTCTTTCTATTATTTCTTGCGCTGCATCAGCAAGAGAAACTGTTGTCATTTGAAGAGTGAGGCTCGACTCTTCGACTCATGCGGTCAACAATGGCGAGCGGCGGCGCATTAATGGCGGCAAGGTGCTAGAAGACTGCACACTTTCGACCTTTTAACAGGCACCTTGTGCTCTTTAGATGCAATTTTAAAGCATTTTCAGTTAAGTCTCGAGCTGTATCATTTTTTTCATAACAGTAAAGGTACTAATCTTATCAAAACAGGCGAAAACAAAAAAATCTGGAATTTTGAGAAAACCTCGAGTTTTTCGACCCGCATCTCCCCTTACCGCACTTCATCATGGGGCTCTTCCTCTTCATCCGAAGTGTCTTCATGCCTACGCTTCTCCCCACGGACGTCACTGTCACTGTGGGCCTGAGCAAACCAAAGTGAATGTGCACAGCCTGTGCATGTATTTCCACACAGAAAGAAAAATAGCACACTTGAGAGCATCAAGAACACACGACTCTTTCTGCTAACATCCACACTCATTTGCATTGGTATTTCACAGGAAAACTGCACTTTCCATGCGTGTTAACATTAAGCATGGAATGTTTTTAGCTACAATTGTTGACGGCCTTCAAGCCGTGTTAAGCCAAAAGCCTGAGCCATTATACGGGCACTCAAATAAGTAACATTCGGGCATCGTTACAAGAACAGGATGCAATCACCCAATAGTCAAAAGTTAAGAGGATACAACCTCTAGCAACCAAAACATTGTGCTGCTTTACATGCCCCATCTACTGCCTACAAAAGTTCAAAAATATTGTTTCCGAGTTCTCAACATTGGTTCACTATTTCACGAAAGCTGTAAATGCTGAAGTTTTATTCATCATTTGCAATAACAATGCTCCAAAGGTGAATAAAGAGTATCATATGCTAGACTGCCACTGCTAAGTGGTGAGAAAAGGTTGCTTGACCCTTTTTTTTTTTTTTATTGCCAGCAGCTCTTTGTGTCACGGCACGAATGTCGCACTGCTTCCGTCAAGAAATGGCATCAGTGTTGCGTGACAAACCAATCTCCTTTGCCAGAAGGTATTTTATGCTTACATCTATACTCTCAATTACAGGAAAGTCCACTGTTTTCATTTGATCACGGACTTTAACAAGCACCTGCTTCTTTTCTCTTTTTGTCCAGAATAAGTGAGGAGCCCTCCAAAGGAGTTTTAATTGACACCGCTTCGAATGCATGATATCTTTTTCTTGCAAAAGTATATAGGGTAATTAGTATTAAATTACTGTATTGGAGAACAGCATGTGCATGTTCTTAGTGCCTTCTTTTTTCCTTGTGTCAAGTTACCAATGAAAAAAGGTGCTTCTAATTGCCAAGTGTAACAACTGCTATATGTGCTCAAACTTATCATGGAACCACACAGTTCACTTCAAGGCCTTGAACAGAAGTCATGAGTGTATGGTGAGAATGATACATAACCAGACCTAAGACATGCTACTGGGACAGTTGGCAGCCTCTCGATACAGTCAAACGTCATTATAACAAAGTCACATCTGCCACGAAAATACTTCGTTATGTCTGATAATTCGTAACATTGTATCTATGAGAAAACTATTCTCCGCTTAGTTTGTTATACCCGATATTTTCTTGTATACGAGTTCTTCATATCAAGGTTTGAGTACAGACAGCATTCGTGACAGCACTCGACCTTGCTACACTACGATCTTCCAGTGCACTCAAATGGATATGACAGACAGCAAGCGCACAAAACAAAAGTACAAATGAACGCTGGCTCGCTTACAGGTTTGAGCATAGATTCGAGACGACCGTTGGCGTTGGACCCTCCACCGTCACTGAGGTTCCTGCGATGCTCCATTCCTTGTCGGCGCATGTCGTGGGCCTCTTGCCTGGCGTTTTGCACAGGCGCAACGTGCTGCCCGACAGCCTTTAAGCACACAAGTTGGATCATTCAGAATTTCAGTGAAGTAAAAGGTATCCATGCACAGCTAAGCAATGAATGCAACAGTCACCCCGGAAAAAAAAATGATAAACCCAGAATTATTTATGCAGTTCAAGCCCACCAGCTGTTACACAAGCTGAAAACTTACCACAGAAATCATGGATTTCACCTTTATGACGCACACTTCTTGTATGGCTCATCATGGTGCATATGGCACATCATTTCTGATATAACTGCAGTTCAACGCTGACTGCAGTATGCACTGTAAAGCGAATAAGCCTAGAAACTGATTGGCGAAACTTGGGCAACTATTAACAATAATAAACTCATTCAATTGGGCAAATAATGATTGCTTTTGATGGAGATATATAGCAACAACTAGAATTTTGCTGCGTGCCACGGCCGATTTTTCAGATTCTGTCAAGAAAATGAAACACCTTGATTGTGCGGATTGAATGTACAGTGCTCTGCAAATGAAGTGCAATAATTGGCCCGTGAAGAGGCAGATGGCACAAGTGAGTGCTGGAAAACCACGGCTGGCTGGTTTTGTTATACAAGTCACAGATTGCAACAGCGAAGGGCTCCAAGCGCTACCACAATGATGAGCCCGCACTGCGACAGCATAGGATTTCGAGGTGATCAATCGCACTTCGTCATGGCAACTGATTGCCAAGCACCCCCACTGTTAACCAAACAACGGGGTGGCCACCACATGGGCCGACTCTTGCATTCCAATGGCCAAGCCCTGCAACCATACATAGTAAAACTATCCCAACAATGAGGCATTAAGGCTAGAGCAGAAAGTGCCAAAATGCAAGACATGCTGAATGCACTATGTTACAATAACAATAAAAAAATGGCTGCAAAATTGGTTGAAGCATGTCTAGTTCACACAATAAATGTTTCACTGGTACGAGGAATACTGTGCTTACAACTGGGGCAAACTGTCCACCTGGTGTCCATGCAGGCCTCGCCTCGGATTCAGCCTCCTGAAAGCCAACAAGGATGAAATGTGAGCGTTGGTCAAGCAATAAGCGACACTTTCTACACAAAGTGACATCGACATCAGTTTCACTTTACAGAAAGTAAACACATGTCAGTAGCTACGAATTATCATATGTTATTTACACTATACATATGTATTGTAAGTGCGCATAGAAATAGTTTGGCTTAATCGCTCCACTTCTGCAGTAGGTAATGCCCGTTACATTACATTAACGCACATTCACTTGTGTGATAGCTCAGCCACTTCAAAGCACTTGTCCTACCTATTCTGTTCATATGCTCCCAGCAGATTAAATTTGAAAAACTAGTTGAACAAAGTTGTGAATAACATGGGGTGAAATAAATAGAAACACTAAAAAAATGCAACATGCAGCTCTACTATGTAGTCCTTCCAATTTTTATTTTTATATTTTTTGCCTTCTTTAAGCTTTGTTTTTCGATGATGTTCTTTCTTATCAAGTCAACATCGTACAGCCAAAATTGGCCGGTGTATATGAAAGCTGTGCCCTGCACTATAGATATATATACCTTTGTTATATGCAAGTACCTGTTCCATAAGCCTCTAAGATTTACACTTACATCTGATAACTGTTGCATACTTGTCGCTAATATTTATGTCCAAGTGTAATAAGTTTGTCCGTACTGACCCTCCTGAATGACGATTCTCTAGGCTTGTGAAAATAGTAAATTTCAGCTTCAGAGCAAATAGTGATTGTGTCGAATAAATTCAAATTGAATTTGAATGGTACATGTCACATGTTATACAGAAAAATTAGCCTATTTGTCATAATCCAGAAAACCTGCAGTCTTTATAAAAAATCGAAACAAGGCCTGTGCAAACACGATCCTTTTTGGTTCAAGGGAAGTGGAAACAACTTTACATTGCATTGGCAATTGCACTAGCTCATGTCAGAAATGTCAACTGAACAAAGCAAAATGTAAGCAAAAGACAGACAGCACGATGTTTCCACATTACTCAAATGTCCCATTTGAAACCGTCCATGTTAATTTTGCCTAACTGGCGAAGGAGTGAAGAAAACGCAATCTTTTTTAGTGTGCATTGATTAATGCTCCTGGATGCTAGCTGCCAAGCCAGGAAAAGAAAATACGGCTACTGTCATATCTCTCCTGAGAAGAGACATGTTTAAAGGTTTGAAGGGTGTTGTGTCCGACAATGGATCCACGTTCAAGAGCCAGACATTTGCAAAGTGGACAAAAGAAAGAAGCATTACCCTCAAGTTTACAGCACCTTACCACCCACCAGCTAACGGACTAGCGGAGCGTGTCATCCGAGATATCAAACAATATATAAGTGAGTACGCAGGATTTCCAGGAGGATGGAAATGTTGCCTACAAGCAGCTGTATCACACGACAACAGGTCAGATACAACCACACTTGGTTGCAGCCCTCAGTATGCCGTATTCTGGGAACCTGCTTATTTACCTGCGGATGACACACTTGGCACAGCAGAGAAGCTTTGCTTTTAAGAAACGAAGAAAACTTTTGAGCAGCAAAGGAAGCACAGAGAAGCTACGAAGAGAGCACTTGACAAACGTCATTGCTCAAACAATCCCGCGATAGCACTAGGTGACATAGTTCTGGTGTGAAAGGGTATGGTGGTACTAACACAAAACTTGTGGGTCCCTCCACTAAAGACCATCAGCTACATGACGGAAAACGGTGTGATGGAAATAGCAGCCATTTCCAACATCATCCCTTATTTAGAGTGAAAAGATGAAATAAAGGCGGGGAGAGTGTAGTGGGCCGGTACTACAAAGGACAGATTTGGTGGGAACAGGGGGGAAGATGAGGAAGAAGAATAAAGAGATTGTGCTTTGGGTCTATGCCCGCTTGTCGTGGAATGTTACAAATAGTACCAGGATTTGACTTCTGGTAGAATGCAATGATAACATGTAAAATATGTTAGAGCACTAACTATAGCTATAACTATACTTAGAGCATATAAGCTGGTATAAAAAGCTATTAAGCTTGAAAAATCATTAATCGATGAGATGGTAATATGCTCATTTGATTTTGACATGGAGCTTTGTGGCTGCGAGAATTTTTTCTGAATAGATGTTTTTCACAGCTTAGCATCCCTGTGCTGCAGAAAAGCTACCTTTGCAGGTGGTTATGTGTAGATTAACTTTTTCGTTACCACGCGAAAATGGTTGTTTTTCATATGTCTTGGAAAGATCGCTTTTGCAGTTTGAAAAGTACTCCAGCACCCATTGCAGCATACCAAACTTTGCCAAATTAAATGCTCTTTCCAAAAAAATGTATGTTGTAAACAACAAAAACATTTTAGAATGAATAAAATTTTAAATACTTTGGAATTTTCCGTTGCCAGCTGGTAAAGAGTGCAATAAAACACACTATATGTGCAAAAATATTGAAAACAAAAAAAACTCTTAATATACATTTTGTAGATAAATGACCCAGGAACAGTATAAAAAATAATAAATGCTCTACAAAATGTTTCTATTCACACAGACCAAGAAAATCAGAATCGAGGTGCTGCTTTGTTGCTCGTGCCATGCGGTGAAGCATGGCATGATTTTTCGTGAGAGACAAGTCTACTCGCACTTTTCTCAGTACACTTTTGTTCTCTTGCGATAAGAATCTCCAGGTGTTCCAATATAGATGGATACCCCTGATGTGAATAATCCCTCAATAAATGACATGTCCAATGAACTTCGCTAGTTCATCTAGCGTCACGTCTTTCCACGAGCCACCCCTCTCTGCATAGGTTGACACTCTAATATATGCATCCAAGCATATTTCTGAGGATTTTCGCGTATACCATACAAAAAGGACACTATCGCCTGCAGTTCTAAAAGGTTTTGCACTGCTCCATAGTCAGGGCCAAGATGTGCTTTGGAAGCCTCCTTGTTGTTAGGAGAAGCTCTGCAGCCAGTGCCAGCGCAACGCATCTCTGCGAAGCGTGGAGCACGCACATAACCAGAGTAGCTATAAGATTGTGCACAAGGAGCAGAAGCTATATGCACTTGCGGTGGAGGAGACAACTTGAGGATGTAAATAAAACAAACCCATGAGCGGCCGCGGATGTCTCAGGCTGACGAAGAACATCATCGGCATAAAACTTGAACTTGAGATGCTGCCATCCTCAAACTCTAAGCTCATCCTCGCTCAATTCAGGTAGGGTTGCAAGACAATTTCGAGCAGAGCATGTGTTTTGCAGTGCTGGTGCACACCCATGCACGCGTGATGACGTCTTAGGAGCGACTTTAATTCGATGTTTGGCTTGCAAAGGTTCTTTTCATTACAGAACTTCGATATTACTGTAGCATAATCACGAGGGGCACGGCTTTCTGTCAAGTTTGCTTTTCTATTGCACCTTTCCAACAATACACACATGCACTTTGGTTCAAGCAAAGGCCTGCCGAAAAATAATATGTTGCCAAAACGGGCAAATTCAAATTGATTCTGAAAATTAAGTGGCTGGACTAAGTAGTAGAAAGTGCTGGGTGCACGAGAAAATTTAACATGTCGAAATTGACAATACAAAAGCGTCGATCACCAGTGATTGATTTGAATAGGCATGGTAACAAAAGAGTTAATATACATTTATTCATTCACATGAAATACAGTAGACTCTGAGTAAATGGAACCTGAAGGGACCAGAAAAATATGTTCCATTTAACAGGAGTTCAGTTTACTGAGAGGTTAATATGGGTGCAGAATACAAGTCCGAAACCAAGCATTGCTGAGGCAATAGTTCCGTTTAAGCAGTAGTTTCGTTTAACAGATTTCTACTTATTGAGAGTCTACTCTAATTCGAAACTTTAAAAATTCAAATTCAAATCTAAGTGAATTCAAATATGGCAATATTCTTCCAAATCTTTGAGGCATTCGAATATTTGCACGAGCCTATGATTCTGCTATTGAACGAAATTTTCATCGACTTCCCCTACAAATTACCACGATATTCAGCTTACACCTAGGTCTGAGTATATGTCAAAGTGACCCCACTGTACTTGCGCCATTTTAAAAATAAACCCTTGAAGTTTCCCAATAGGCTACCAGTGAATGCAGACACAGAAGCACACTTGCCATTTTCATCCTCCTTTTCTTCTCCTTCTCGCGGCGCTTGTAGTTGAGCTGCAGGCCGGGATACAGGACCGAGTCAGACAAGCCAAATACACAGCCTAGTTAAAAAAAGCTAGGAACATGCACAGCGCACTATACCTCATTCTGTTGACGGCGTTTGAAGATTTCATCTTCCGCTTCTCCAAGCTCTGCACGAAAAAGCCAGACAAGAATGGGCTCTTTAAATGTCTGTCAATGTCTGTCACAAGTAACTTAATGTACTAAAGATTACTCATTCGGCACATTGTACAGCAATTGTAAGCCAGCTCGAAAGAGTTCAACCTGTGAGTGTATTTTTTCTCCACAACAGTGCAACAAAACTTCGTGCTGACAGTGGTTGCGAAATGCACAACAAGGTTTATGAGTCTGGAAAGTCGTAGGGTGAAACAACAGTAAATAACCAAGTTGCAAAGCGTCCAAAACGATGCACACTCTTACGAATCCTTTTTTTGAGGTTATTCTTGGGGACAGAAAATGCACGTGTCCCTCTTTAACATTTTGATTTACTGAAATTCTTTGTAATTCTTGACGTTACATATTACATTATACTCTCAGTAAACATAAATCTGTTTAACGGAACTGCTGCTTAAATGGAAAAAGTTCTTCTGGTGGAATTGGTTTTGTGCTTGTATTCTGCACCCCTATTCATATCTCAGTAAATTAAACATATTTTCCTGGTCTGTTCAGGTTGCTTTTAATGAAAGTCTACTGCGTGTATCAACCTTCACATCACTAATATTTCTTTACAGGATTCTGTAAATAAATTGCATGCATTCTCATTTGTCTTGATCGCGTTATAAGTCTAGTCTGATTTCTAAACCCTTTGTCGAGCTGTAATAACTGCAACACAACATTTATGTACTGATCCCTCTCTTTATGATTCTATCTGAGCATGGGCACATCAAAAAAAAATTATCAAAATAAAATTCCCCCCAAAGTTGACTGTAAAGAAATCGCTCAATGTCCGGCACATACCAGACCATAGGCAATGACATTTCTTCTGAATGTAAAAGGCATTTCAATGCCTCCCAGTTACATTACTTAGGTTGCAACTTATTCTGCTTCCTTTTTTTTTTTCTTTTTGTAGGGGGTGGGGGGAGTGAGCATGCACTGGTACACATATTGACTGGCTTTTCAAAACCGCTGTGATGGGGGATGTGCTTTTTTAAAAAAAGAAAAAAATCACGAAAAACTCAATGTTTGAAGAACTATACACAGTACAGTCAAACACAATTTTAACGATCCCAAATACAATAACCTATCTAGTTATAACGACCATATTTCGCTGCACTTAAGATTTCCCTGTGCTACCCATTGAAACCGCGTCCACATAAAGTGAACAATCTTCAAAATCCCCTACTTTTTACAACGAACACTGCACACTTCAGACACGATCACAGTAAAATAATGACGATTATGAAATGAAAAACAGGCTTTATAAAGCACAAGAAAAGTGCGTGCATGTCCCGCTACAGTTGACTCGCGACTGAAGACCACTGCAAGTGAGGTTTCCAGACATTGCTTCACTGGCAGAAAGGCACTCTGGAGAGATGAATGAATGAATAAATTTTCTTAGGCCCTTTGGAACGCGCTTCAGCCCGTTCCGGGCCGCTTCCACGTTGGAACAGAAAGACCAAATCTCTCTGCTGCAAGTCTCTCTGCCCATAACTGTCATTCGAGTCCGGAGCTGGAAATAACACCCTCCTATTCGGACGGCGTGATGACTTCACCACAGTGTAACACGGGGCACCGCCAGAGCATGTGTTCTAAATTAGCTATATCATTGCAGATGGAACATGAATAACACCCTGCTATTGCACAAGATTTATCCCGAAATACAGCGAACACAGGGGAAAGAAAAAAGAACAACAAAACAAAAAGAAACCGGATGCAGCACAGTTAGGCAGCGGTGCGCGCCTGAGCAGCACCTAAATATTGCGCTTGTTTTTACAGTGCTGTCGGAACCACAAGAGGAACTGCTGCTGCCCAGCTCAGTTAAGATGGATTTACGGCACGAGCCCAGGGCATTGCCTGCATCAGCTGTGTTGGCGTGTGGAAGACGAGGCAACGCCCACATTTGCGAGGACTGCCTGAAGTGCCGACGGCTTAAAAGGGCCAGCGCAACGAGAATTCGCCACCTAAATATTGTGCTTGCTTTTATAGGTAGGCGGCATTCTTGAAAAATCCTGTTATGCTTTAGAAGTGTGCACTGCTGCCGAACAATTTGTCACTTGTTTTGTTTGCATAGTCGTTGCTGTTGGCTTGCTGTCTGTTTTACTGTTGGTTTGCTCTTGCAATGGCTAAAGAAATGACAAAAGCCTTCGAAGATTTCAAGCGTGAGCTTAGGCTTGAAATCAGAGGCTTAAAAGAAAAATTTGAGGGCATTGGGGAAATCACGAAACAGTTACAGGAAGTATTGAAAGAAAACAGAGAACTTCGTGCCAAAAATATGAAACTGACAAACAAACTAGAAGAGCTGGAACAATATCAGCGTTCCAACAATGTTGAGACTAAGGGCATTCTGCTTGAAGGTGAACCAGTCGCTATTATCAAACGAATTGGTGTAGTCATACAGGAGGAAGTAACGGAAGCTGACATTAATGTTTGTCATCGTGTGCCTACTGGTCGGCATGACGAATCAAGCATAATAGTCCGGTTCATCCGTAGAACAAAGAGAAATGCTTTCCTCAGCAAAGCGAAGAAATCAAAATTACATGCAAAGCAACTTGCATTCCAAATCCCCTTCCAGAGTTTATGTGAATGAGCACCTAACCCGCTATGGCAAGCAACTTCTTGGTGCCACAGTACAAAGAAAGAAGGAACTATGATGGAAATTCGTGTGGACTGCAGGAGGGGAGGCAAAGTGTTTGCAAGGAAAGATGAAAACTCAGCAGTGTTGAGGATTGCATGCATTGGCGACACTGAAAAGATGAACAAAGGAACGTAGTGCGCGGTCTTCTGGGTGTACTTGTAGAGTGCCGCATACTGTAATGGACAGTCCTGAAGCGTGTAGCTATTACGATGTTGCCACTTTTACAAGACTTTCTCACGCGATTCTAAACTGTTTAAAATCCTACACCTAAACACGTGTAGTATTAGAAATAAAGAGCAACAACTTAGTGACTTGTATGCCTCGATCACCCACAGCTTTGATATTTTGATGTACACGGAAACCTGGCTAACAGAAACGGAAAAACCGCCACATTTCCAGGGTTACTCATATAATGGTTTCGTGCGGTCAAGCAGTAGAGGTGGTGGCATAGCAATTTATGCTAAAACGTCATTAAGGCATGCAATTATTTCTGAGTGTTCAGTAATAAACAGCAGCGTTGAATGTATGTCGCTTTGTTTACAGAAATTAATAGTTGTAGTAATATATCGACCACCAATGGGCAACAAAATAGACTTTTTTCAGTATTTGGAGCGTAACATATTTACTAGATTCTACCGTGCCCTCGATTGCAACGCGCACTCGGTTTTCACGACGAAAAAAGAAAAAATGACATCGATTGCAACGCGCACCCATTTTTCTCTTTAGGCCCACACGATCACACCACTCGGGAAAAAGACTCCTTTCGGGAGCATCTTCCGTTTAAATATGAGGTACGGGGGAAGCTTGTGCCTATCTGACGTGCAACAGAGCATCGCCGTCACTCTAGTTTTACCATGGCCCGATGTCAACACGCGAACTTGCTTCGCCCCCTTCTTCTCGATGGTTGTGGTGCCAGGCATGTCGAAGTAAAGAGGCGTCTGATCGGCATTCCCGATTTGCCCAAGCAGGGAGCCGTTGTTGTGCCGCAAGTTTAGGACGAACCTCTGAAAACTGAAGCTTTTCTTTGTACTCCTCCGGCAACTTTTGGCATATGCCCGTTCGCCTTCAGAGGGAAAAGCCTTTCCTCTTCATAAAGTTAGTTAGCCAGCACCTGCTCGCTTTAAACTGGCTCCGCATTAGCCCTTTTTCTAAGGCTAACTGCATAGCCTGCACTTGGAGCAGTTCTGTCGTCACGGGCCTCTGTGCCGCTCACTGCTCAAGCACATACTCGGCGAGCAGCTCTTCAATTTGCGGAAACCGACCCTGCTGTGGTCCGCTGAAGCCTTTGCGTGAATCTTTGCTGTCGACAATATTCTGCTTTTGTTTCCGCCAGTCCCACACGCATGTTTCGGGAACTCCGAACGATCGCGATGCAGCCCGATTTACGTCCGTTTCGGCACACGCGACTTTTCTTTTAAAAGCGGCATCGTGGTGCACTCGTCAAGTTTTTGGAGTCGGCCCTTCCATGCCGTCGATGCTAATGCACACCAAGATGACGAACTCCTCAGCACACGTACGAAGTGCCGCACATGGGAAACACATAGGCAGAAATGGCCGACGCGCCATGCAGACGTACGTAGGGGGCGGCCATTTTGGAATGCTGATGGGAATAGAATGACCGTATTCATTTTTTTTTTCGTACTCGATTCTAACGCGCATGCGATTTATGAACTCGGGGAAAAAATGTGTGCGTTAGATTCGAGTAATTACGGTATGCTTTCTTTTCTATGTCGATTTTCAATGCCTTTTGTAATAATGAGGGGCGTCAACATAGATATGTTATCGAGTAACGCTGCAGATTAAAAGTTTATTGAAATCATACACTCCTTTGCATGCACCAGTCTTATTACGGAAGCCACAAGATTAACAGAAAAAAGTGCAACTTCACTCGACATATGTGTAACGAACATTCGTTCTCGAGACTGTTTTTCTGGACTGCTAACGGCTGACGTAAGTGACCATTTACCGAAGTCAAAGACGAAACCACAGTGGAAGCCTTATCTCGCAGCATTCGTGCTGCAGGCTTGGAGGTGTTTAGCTCACATATTCAATCAGTCGATTGGACATGCGTGTTTGAGAAAAGAAACTCAAATGCAGCATACGAGGCATTTTTTGAAAAACTTAGAGTATGTTACAATACAGCATTTACAATGACCTTGCGAAAACCAAAACCCAAACGTGCAAGGAAGCCGTGAATTAATGAAAAGCTATTGAAAATGATTAAAACAAAAAATAAAATGTACCACACATTTGTTCAGGTCACGGAACCTGGAGGCGTTGTCAGAGTTTAAAAAAATACCGAAATAGGTTGAACACCGACTTAAAGCATGCGAGGGA